TCTCTTCTTTTCTCTCTCTCTCTCTCTCTCTCTCTCTCTCTCTCCCTTTTTCCATTTTCCTATCCCTTCATCTCTCTTCCCGCCCTTTCCCCGCGACTCGTTCCTTCTTCTCGCGATCGATACTTTCTTCCTCATTAATATATATATCTCTGTTTATTATATATATCTTTTATTTGTTTTATATATATGTATAGACTGATATCAACACGTATAACATCGACGTTTTTTTTCTTGTTAAATCAAAGTTCTCGCGGAGAAGGTTGTAGCTGCTCCGATTATTACAATCTCTCTTTCTCTCAATTTTTTTTTTTTATACGTGACTAATGCAAACAAGTTACCGGATCGTGTCGCGAAACTTAACGACGATCCGATCAGTCAATTGTCTTTCATTTAGGTTTCGGCGTTTTATCAGTCGAACGTGAACTATCTCGCGCACTTTACTCCCGACTCGTCCTCAAGGAGGACGAAAATTTCGAGGTTTCACCTCCCTTCGAGCTTCGAACGTGTTCCTTTTCCAGGGTATGCGTTTCTTTTCCTTCCTTGAACCTTCCTTTAACTGGCGCAGGACTTTATTCGTGAGAGAATGTGAAATCGATTTTTCCTTAGCGAAGACAACTAATAATTGGAAAGCTCCGCTTGTCCTTTAATATTCAATATCCTTTAATATTCAATTCCTCGGTAAGATAAACTTGCGCGGGAGCGCTCGCTAAGGGAATGTTCGATTAATTGACGAATAAAGTTCCGCTTCCTTCCGCGTTTCCTCGGACCGTTTCCGAGATATGCGGATATTTAAAAATCCGATAATCTACGAGTTAACCCTCGCGATGCGCGTCACGGTACGTATTTATTAAAACGGTATGTAGCCGGGAGGTATATTTGCACATATCAAAAGTCAACATGTGTCGAGTCTCTATCAAAAAAGGGTTCGTCATTTACCCTTCCTTCGACGGAACGAGAACTTCAGCTGGGGATTCTGACGATTTAGCGAAAGAGGTAAGTCCTGCCTCTCGACTCGGATCTGATTTGATTCTCGTTTCTAAGCCTATCGGCGGTTATCGTTTGAACTTTCTTTCCGAAATACATCGCACGCATACAGCTAAGATCTTAAGTTTGCTATTCGACGGACAGAGGTGTGTAAATATATATATATGTGTGTGTGTGTGTGTGCGTGTGCGCGCGCGCGCGCGCGCGCGCGCGTGTGTGTATGCGTGTCTGTAATAACGTGACTGTGGAGAAATGGGAAAGTTCATCGGGATATAGTTATTATGATAGAACGATAGCGTGTGCTCTGCAGCGAAAGTAGATACGGTCACGGAATATCTTTCCGCTTCCATAAAAATAGGCGGATTAAGGGAGATTAATAGGAACTCCTTCCGCGGACGAATTCCTCGTCTCTGGCATCGAGAATTAATCTAGCGGTCTCTCATTATTTTTCTCTTAATTTAATTCTTTAACAAGAATACCTTGTGTATAGCAAACCTCTTTTTTCTCCTCTACATCTTTACATTTTGCGCCACATTTTGAATGGATTCCTATCAGTCCCTTGTAAAAGATTACCTAGAAAGCAGTGAAAAATGAGGGGGATATTGCTTTCTGTTACAAATTTACGAAACTGATGAGAGCTAAGAATGCCAAATGTCCTTCTTTCCCTTGCGTATCCATGATTCAAGGTACCTTCATATTTTTCTGCGCCTCTGGATTCGCGTACCTATTTTTTTTTTCAGGAATCGTCGATCTCAAGATAGAGCGCTCTTACTCACTTTCTTTTTCTATCCTTCTTTCTTCCTTTGGTAATAATAATCGTACAAAAACTCGTTCGCAAGCTCGTCTGCAAGCCTGCGTGCATGGCAGTATTCTCGGTAAGTAGATAGTGTAAATACGATATGATACATAGCGGGGTGTCGTTCGGGGCCGTCCCTGAGCTGCCGCGGCGGCCGTTAACCCTTCCGCGGCGACGAAAGGTTCGAGAACATGGTGTCTCGAAGGGAACGACCGTTCCCTGAAACGTCGGGGTTAAACGAGGAGAATAAACATTCACCCCGTTACGGAGCGCGCTTGCACCCCGAGATGACATTGACGTTCGTACCGAGATGACATTGACGTGTTTTTGCCGTCTGTGTCGTTGTCGATCCGATTTCGCTGCGCGAATTGATATGACAACGCTAATGGCGCGATTATTGTTGGATTGTCTCATAAGTTTGTTCGGTTTGTTTTCCTTGACAATGATTTTGTTTTAAAAAGAGTTACATATTGGCAATGTGTTATATATCAATTTCTTTTATTACATGTATTTTTTATTCGCTCTTGTTTTTTTTTTTTATTGAAATAATTTGTGTCTTATTTGAATTAATCGTATATATAATCTTTTGGCATTGAAAATATGGAGTCAAGTTAAGAAAAGTGAACATTTCTATCACGTTTCTTTTTTTAAGTTGAACAAACCACTTTTGCCCCGTTCTTTCGAGAATAGAAATCTTTTCTGCATACGGCATAAATGTTTCAGAGGGTCTCTGCTGCTTTAAAATCTTGATTAAATTCAGAAAGAAGAATATAGAAATGTTTATTTTTCTCAATGTAATACTTCTAAAAAATCCTAAAAAATTTTTAAATCAAGCACAGACAAATCCTTTCGATAGAAAAACATGAGTTATAAATTAATATATAATATATTGCCAATACGTAATTTCTTACAGGACAAAATCATTGTCAAAAAAAATTTAATGAAGTTACGAGACAACCCAGTAAATTGACTGTGGATTCAAGGAATTGGAAACTGGGAAATCCAATCTATTAGGAAATCTGAAGATCCGAGGATCCTTTGAAAGCTGGAAATCCAGATATTTACGGATTTAGGAATCCGCGAACATTTTGAGATTCGACAGAAATCCAACTATTCCAGTCTCTAAGAAAATCCAAAGATCCCTAAAAAATTGCACAAAGATCATGAAATTGATGAATTTTGAGATGGAAAAATTCGAGATGAATTCCTTTTGTTCCAAGAGCGTTTACTTATTCGCTTCGCTAATTAATTGGAAAGATAATCGATACTGCGTGCCGGCTTTATTACTGTCGTTAATCGAAAAGGGTAATCGGTATTGAGCTTAGTTTTATTATCGTCGTCGCTTTGGAGGGAAAGGATTTTGGACTTTACGATTATGTGTCGTATAAAATCGTAGGATTCCACGTGGGAATCTCAAAGTCTTGCTTTAAGCGTTATGCGGAACATCTTGATGCGCTATTAAGTTTTTATTAGTCTTACAAGAACGACGCGTGAAGTATGAAATTAAATCGCATAATTATCGATCGATTGATTCACGCAACTGAAAAATCATAAATCTTTTTTTTTTTTGCGATTCGCAAAGACACGAAATCTAACGATTTTCTTCAATTCGAGTGAAGATGATAAGGGAAGAAAGATGATCGACGATTAAAAAGCGATTTTTATTTGCATCTCACACGTCATTCGTTGCTCGCTAACAGTCGCATGATGTTACAGGATATTGCAAATTCGTGTCGTTGCCCTTCTACTCGAAGTAGGTTCCTCGAAATCTCTACCTCTCCCTGGCCTTCCACTACGCCCCCTCCGTCATTCAATAAATTTATTTAGATTACTTGGTACGAGATTAACCATTTATTTGGTACAATTAACGCTTCTAACCCGTAAAATTGTCCCGCTACGTCCACGGACGATTACTCAATAAATAATAGGCTATCCTGGCTTTTTGAGGCCGTGCGATCGTGAGTGCTCGGTCGTCCTTCCCTCGGTGAGAGCTCCCCTTCGTGCCTCCATACGATCGCTAATGTAACCCCGATCGGACACTTTTCTTCTTCGCTCCTCTTCCTCCCTTCCCCTCCCCCGCTCTTTCACCTTCTCATCGGCGATCCTTTTAGAGCCACGTACGCGAGAGAATCCTCGGATCTCCAGAGATCCCGCGAATCCCCCATCCACCCTACGATCCCGCTGTCTTCGGATCGTTTAGGTCCCTGGATGGAATCTCGCGGATTCCCGGGCATCATTGGATCTTTGGATTCTCGTGATTTTCTCTTCTCCCCATTTTCTCACTCTTCCCCCGCTTCTTGTCTACACGATAATAAATGTCCTTTCGGAAGATCCGATTGAACGGGACGATCGACCGTGCCTACCCGCCGTGCTTTTCCGCGTTGCGTCGTCGTCGTCGTCGTCGTCGTCGTCGTCGTCGTCGTCGTCGTCGTTATCGTCATTGTCATCGTCGTTATCGTCATTGTCATCGTCGTTGTCGTCATCGTTGTCGCTCGAGACGGCCCCCCAAGGAGAATTCCTACAGACGCACCTGCAGCAGATGCGGGACGATGCGACGCGATGAGGATCTTTACAGGTGCCACTTGGCTATCAGTATCATGATTAGGTGGGGCGCGAGGGTGGCCAGCGACGCGCCGCCCGTCACCCGGACGTCGCTGTCCTTGAGGAACACGCCGTTGATCACGTGGATGATGCCGTTGGTGCACTCGACGTCCGGACGGATGACGCGGATCTTCTTGCCCTCCCATTCCACTTGGTAGGCTGAAACCAACAAGACATGACGATGATCTTTGGACAAGGACCTCGAGGGGAGAGGGAGTCGCGTGATGGGCAAACGAAGCAGCACTGCGATGCATCGCTTAATCTCTAGAGATCCTAAAATAACGTCGTGAGATGCTAAAAAGGAAAATCAATGATAAATAATGGAAAATTAAAGAGTCGACTTTCTAATAACGTTCGATGTAAAGCGATAGTATATCTAGTGAAAGAGACACAAACGACGATCGTAAGTAAAATTTCAGTTTAGCATCGTGTCGTCGTATCTCAACGAATGCACCAGAAATACGTTTGTTACTCTTTCAATACCACTTTCCTGTGTGTTTAAGCATCCTCGCCTCGCTTAACGAAGGGTCTACTGAACTCAATCTTTTTCTCGCCCGCGATCCTCGTCGGGTACCTTTGCAAGGATTGTAAAACAGAGCGGTTAAAGCGTCGGTCGCGAGTTGGAAAACGCCTCGGAAATTTGCTCATAGGCGAGAGAGCGAATAACCGGGCGGGCACGTAGCAATTAGCGCCGGGGGTAATCAAGGAATTTGCATTTAAATGGTGGTCGAAAGGTGCATAATAAATCGCCCTGCGGTTCCGGCACATAATGGCGCGCGCGTTCGTTTCCGGCTTCCGCGTTCGAGAGGCGCTCGAGAGGCGACATATTTTTCACGAAACGGCCGGCTTTCGATAACGCGAAAAATTCCTGGCCCCAGATATACATCACATCTCGGCGTCAGAAACTCGGGAACGTGAAAGGGAGCTGTTTACGGGTTTGCGTTGCATCCGTTTCGAGAATTTCCTGGACTTTGCGCGACGCGCGACGGAAGCTGAATTCGCTGCATCTCGCGGCAATCTGAACGGAAACGAGGTCCATCCCGTGGCTCACACGCGTCACATCCGTGCGAAAAAGCAGAAAAAAAAGAAAAAAATACACGCAATCGTTTCCTCGAATCAAGTCGAATCATTGCATATTATTATTTTCTACCTGAACAGAGTTTCCAATTTATATTATAAGCGAAATATTACAAACACTTCTGAATTGTTAAAATCGGTTTCGATTACCTGATGGGCTTCATTAATATTTGCGGGAGTCATTTTATTTCTCATAGTCAGGCAAATTTGTTAAAACAACGCGCGGTCGAATCATCAAGAAAGTAATTAGTATCGATCCTCGTATTACAAATTATTCTCGCTTTAATGTTAATATGATAGACGGTTGGCTTGCCGCGGCATATGGAACACGACCGGATATTAAGGGATTAATATCTTCGTGTAGTCCAAAACGATCATATATTATTTTCTCTTTTAAACAACCGGGCGAAAAGAACTTTGCCATTCCTGTTATCAGACGTCTTCTGATGATTCCGAAAGATCTTGCATCTGCGCGTACTTCAAACGGGAGTGAAAGGGGGGGGGGGGAGTGGTCGAATTCTTATTCCAGTCGCGCGGGCATGTTTACGAACGCGGGGTGGTTGTTTCACAACGTGGAATAAATAGTAGCCGCGAAACGGGTCGGGGGCTCCTCGTTTTCCCCGCGACAAAGGTAATGATATCCTATTGCCATTGTTGTCGCAATTAATTTACGCGCAACAATGAGCGTTCTGCTCGTCGTAATTAATTCCTCCGTTCACAATGAGTATTGTTGCCCTCGCCGCAATTAATACGCTTTTGTTTCTCGCGTACCGCACGCTTCGTATCCCTCTCCTCTTGTCGCCACTCTCTTTTCCTCTTTCTCGTTCTCTCCTTCTCTTTCTCCATACCCCATCGTCTTCTTTTTCTCTCGATTCAATGACTTTTGACCCCGCTCTAAGTCTCCCCGGAGGTCCCACCTGCGACTATAACGAAAATTGTGGCACGAATGCGCAGGATTGAAAATCCCGGTTCTAATTGATCGCGAAAATCGGGACGATCTTGGTTTTCCGAGCCGCCTATTGTGTGCCGGACGTCTCTTGTATTATTTAACAGCGGGTTCGATCGTGGTGCCGTGAGGCAGAGGCTCTCAAACATTGTACAAGTAACGAGGGAGATACCCAAACAAAAAGACACGAACAGGATACGCAGTTTGAGAACGTCTGCGATAACAGATGCAATATATATATATATATATATATATATGTATATATGTATGTATATAATCCAACTGCGATGCAATATATCTCAAATAATAATACAAAATAATTAAACGAAGCATCAACGGCTGATCGCTACTTTCAGTGCGAACGAGATCTACGCAGTCCCATCTACGCGCCGAGCGAAGTTCACTTGGTTTTTCAATGGGGAAACACCGGGTCCTTTCACCACGCTAGATCCTGCCACGCTAGATCCTTCGTACGTATGCGTAAGCGTAAGCGTCAGCGTAAGCGCAAGCTCGGCGTACGTGCGCCCGTATAAGCATGTAGAGAAAAGAAAATCAGAATCGACGATTGCGACGAAGGCGGTACTCAAGGATCTAAAGGTCTCCAGGATCCAGCGCGCTCGAGATCGTATACGGAATGCACGGGATGCCGAGTTGGAGCCGCGCGCGGAATAATCCTCGGAATATTCGATTGAAACTCTAGGACGAAAGTAAAATTATGGAGCTTAAATATTGACGATACGAGGGGCGGAGAAAGAGAAGAAGGAGGGAGGAGGAGGAGGAGGAAGAGGAGAAGGGGAGAATTCCCGAGATCGCGAAAGATCCCTCGGGACGCGCGACTCACGCATCCCGGAATCCACGGATCCGGCAATTAGAAGCGAACTTCGCTGGCGCGTGAGTTTACGCACGAGTTCGAGTCTCTCTCTCTCTC